CCCCCGTGGGTGCCCCCCCTGAGTGCCCCCCGCCCGTGGGTGCCGGGGTCACTTTCGGCGCAGGTAGAATGCGGTGGCCCCGTGTGGGGGGGCCATGGCCAGGGCCTCCCCCGGGCCCGGGGTCGTGCTGAGGAACAGCCCCGGGAACGCTGCAGCCTCGAAGGTGTGCGTGGACCCCCCGTAGGTCTTGTAGAAGGTGAAGGGCGTGGCCTCGTCCCCCTCCTTTGAGAACAGCTCCAGCAGCCCCACGTCCTGCCGGAGGGGCACACAGGGCTGGGACACCACCCCGGGGTGGCACCGTCCCAGGGAACCCCCATCTCCAGGTGACTCCGTTGCCAGGTGACCCCACCTCCAGGTGACATCACCACCAGGTCCCCACCACCTCAGGGTGCCCCCACCTTGGGTCATCTACCTTGGGTTGACGAACCTTGGTGCCGCCCCGTGGTGCCCCCCCATGGTGCCCCCACCCTGGTGCCCCCCCATGGTGCCCCCCCATGGTGCCCCCACCTTGGTGCCCCCCCCATGGTGCCCCCCCATGGTCCCCCCCGGGCCCCCCCTCACCTCCAGGTGCAGCCGAGGCTCGGGGCCGGTGCCGCAGGACAGGGCGCGGGTGCCCCCGCGGATGCCCACGATGAGGGGGCAGCGCCGGCGCTCCAGGTGCCGGTTGGGCACGACGCTGATGGGCTCTGTGGGGACACGGGGCTGGGTGGGGGCCCTCCAGGGGGGTCACCCTCCCCACGGACGACACCCACCTTCCTGGGCAGCGTTGGCGACCTGCAGGCTGGTGGCCACCAGGAGCCCGTCCCGCAGGCACAGCCCCCTCTGCTCCGTGTCCCGCAGGATGTAGTGGTACGGCTGGGCCGGGGGGCGCGAGGACGCCGAGGCAATCGTCACTTATGGGGATACGGGGACATGTGGGGACACAGGGACGGGACACAGGGATGTGGGGATGAGGGACACAGCGGGGACGGACACACGGGGACACGGGGACGTGGGCACATCACAGGGACGTGGGGCCCACGGGTGATGGGCAGGTGAGACATGGGGAACAGGGGGACATGGGGTGTCTTGGGCACATGGAGATGTGGGGATATGACAAGGATGTGGGGATGGGGGACACGGGAATTTGGGAGCAGGGATGAACACAGGGACATGGGACAGGGACACCTGGGGACACAGGGGACCCGTGGGGCACCCGGCAGGAATTACCTCTCCCCAGGAAGTCCTCGAACAGGGCCTCCATGTCGGGGTCCACGACAGACTCGGCCGCATTCCCAGGCCCCGCCAGGATTCCCGGGGGGTGGGACCCCTTGGGGGGTCCCCGGGGACCCCGGGCCCCTCTGCACGAGGGAGGGGGGAGAGAGAGGGGGGTGAGGGTGGGTGTCACATGGGGTGACCTGACCCAGGGAGGGGCAGCCCCATCCCACCCTGTCCCCACTCACGTGACAGCAGGTCTGGACACGCGGGACATGGCTGGGCCTGGAGGGAGGGGGGACATGGGTGATACGGGGGACACAGGTGGAGGACACCCCTGCCACCCACCCCTGTCCCCTGCTGCCAGCCCTGGCCACCAGGAGCATCCAGAGTGAACACCCTGGGAATCCTTCCTGGGCAGGACCTGGCCTGTCCCTGTCCCTGTTCCCAGCCCTGGGAATTGTTCCCAGGCAGGACCTGGCCTGTCCCTGTCCCCGTTCCCAGGTACCTGTGACTCTGGCAGCTCCCGAGGTCCGGTCCTGTCTGGGCTTTGTCCCCTGTTGGTGGTGGTGGCTTTATAGGGCCGGGCAGGGCGGGGGGCAGAGCCCGCCCTGCTGATTGTAGGGCAGTGCCAGGCTGGGATGGGGAAATGCCACCTGGGCCCCTTGTCCCCATTATCCACCGTGCTGCCCATGGTCACTGTGGTCAGGGATGTCCCCCGTGCCATGTCCCCCCCCACCAGCCCTGTCCCCGCAGTGTGCCCTGTCCCACAGGTACTGGTGTGTCCCCAGTGCCCCGTCAGCGTGGTCCCATGTGCCCTGTCCCCATGGTGCCTGTGAGCCCTGTCCCCACAGGCACCTGTGTCCCATCCCCATAGTCCTGTGCCCCCTGTCCCTGTGGCCCCACAATCTCTGTTCCCACAGTGTCCCTGTGCCCCATTCCCACAGCCCCACATGTCCCATCCCCCTTTTCCTGTGTGCCCTGTCCCTGCTGTGCCCCCTGTCCCTGGGTCCCACATGCCCATGTGCCCCATCCCCGTGATACCTGTCCCCCCGTCCCCGTGTTTGTGTCCTCCCTGTCCCCGTGGTGTCCTGTACCCATGTGCCCCGTCCCTACAGCCCCGCGTGTCCCGGTGTCCTCCAGTCCCACATCCCCTGTCCCCGCGGCGTCCCGTGCCCCATTCCCACAGCCCGGCGTGTCCCACGCGTGCCGTGTCCCCGTGTGTCCCCTCCCCGCGGTGCCAAGCCGGGTGTGCCGGGCGGGAAGCGTCGTTTCCCCGGCGGGATCCGGGAAGGGGCGGCCCCGGGAGGTGCCCGGTCCGGGGCAGCCCCGGCTGCGTCACCCCGGGCTGGGGACGCGCCGTTCCCGTCCCCACGGGCCGGTGGCGCAACCCGGGACACCCCGCGGGTGACGCAGCCACCGCCGCCCCCCCCGTGCCCTGTCCCCGGTGCCACCCACGCCACGGGCACCGCGCTGACCTGAGCATCTTTATTGTCTGAGCGGTGCAGGAGGGAGGACGGCGCTGTCCCCGCGGGGATGGCACTGCCGGGGGTGGCGGGAGGGGGGTGGCACCAGCCCGGGTGGCACCAGGCCGAGGATGTCACTCTCCCGGGGAGGATGTCACCCTTCCGAAGGGGATGGCACCATCCGGGGGGATGGCACCTGCCCTGCAGTGAAGGTGTCACTTTCCCCAGTGGAATGTCGCCTTCGCCAGGGGGCTGGCACCATCCTCGGGGTGAGGATGTCACCAACCTGGGGGGGGATGTCACCCTCCCCAAGGGGCTGGCACTGTCCCGGGAGAGGTGCCACTGTCCCCAGGCTGAGGACGTCCCTGTTCCCAGTTGGGAGTGTCCCCACGGCTGTGCCAGGGGGGCTCAGCAGAGCTGGAAGTAGAAGTCGAGCAGGTGGGTGGCATCGTGGCTGCGGGACAGTGCCAGGGGCTGGTGGCCCCGGGCAGAGGTGCAGAGGAACCAGCCGGGGTTGGCAGCGGACTCGAAGCGCCACAGCCCGTCCTTGTAGGAGCGGAAGAAGGTGAAGGCGGCCGAGGCCTCCCCAGTGTGGGGCAGCTCCCGGATGTCCACGGCCTGCGGGGACAGGGGGGTCACCCACGGCCTGGGGGCAGCACGGCGGGGCTGGCACCCATGGCCAGCAGGGGACACGGGCACTGTGCCACCGGGGGCTGCGGTGGCACCGTCCCTGCAATGTCCCATCCCCACAGTCCCTGTGTCCCCACCCCACACTGTCCCATCCCTGAGGTCCCTGGGTCCCCATCCCGGCAGTCCCCATGTCCCCACCCTTGTGGTGTCCCCATCCCCATGGCATCCCCTTGGCATCCCTGTCCCACAGTGTCCCCATCCCTTTGGTGTCCCCTCAGTGTCCCCGTGTCTGTCCCACCTGCAGCCGCAGTGCCGGGGCAGTGCCGTTTTTGGGGTGGCTGGTGAGGCAGCGGGTGCCGTTGCGGATGCCCAGGATGACGGGGAGCCGGGTGGGCTCGAAGGCGCGGTTGGGCACCCAGAACACCTTCTCTGGGGGGGTCACACACCCGGGGGGCCATCAGGATTAGGGTCAGGGTCCCCCACCACCCCCACATCCCCCCCCGTGCCCCCTCGTCACCTTCCAGGGCGGCGTTGGCCCCTTGCAGGTGCCCGGCCAGCAGTTGGTCATCCCGCAGGTACAGCGACTTCTGGTTCACATCCCAGAGCCTGGGGGGGCACAGACGGCGGTGTCACCCTCTGCCACTCTCCGGGGTCCCCAGGGGTGCCCCCCGCCCTCCTTACCGGTACTGGAACACCTTGGTCTGCAGGGTGGGCGCCTGGCAGGGGGAGAAGCCTTCAGCCTCTGCGCAGAGGAGGAGGAAGAGGGAGAGGGTGAGGGCGCTGGCCATGGTGCCCCGGAGTCACCCTGGCACCCCCTGGCACCCCAACACCGGCCCAGCATCCCCGTCCTTATAACCCCCTCGAAACGCCAGTCCTGCGGGGGTGGGGGGCTCCCAGTGGCGTAACAACTCCCGCGGTTCCGCTTCCCCTGCCAGCCCGCCGGGCCCTGCCGGGGGTCCCCGCTCTCACCCGCGGGACCCCCCACCCCACTCATGCTGCGGGGCCGCGAGAGGGAGGAAGGAAGGAAGGAAGGTGGCGGCGGTGTTGCCACACTGCTGGGCAGGGAGGCGGGGCCCGCCCCTGCCCAGCGCTCAGCACCTCGGGGGGGTGACACCCGAGGTGAAACATCGAGGGGGGCGACACGGGGACGTGACAGGGGGTCAGTGCGACCCCCGACTGGCCGCAGCGGGGCTCGAACTCGAGTCTCCCCAACGCGGGGACGGCGCCCTCCCTGTTGCGCCACCGCAAGGAGGCGTCGTACGCATGCGTAGTTAGGAAGGCGGGAGCCCCACAGGAGCGGCGTGGGCAGCGCTGAGTGGCCCAGGGCGGGCAGCGCATGCGCAGAGAGCGAGGTGAAGTTTCCATGCACGGGCAGGGCGGTAAGGGCGCAACATGCGCTTGCGCAATGCGGGATGTGAAGCCGCGGCGCAGGCGCGGGGCGCTAAGAGCGGGAGAAGCGCACGCGTAGCGTGCGCGGTGAGGCGGCAGCTCATGCGCAGAGCGCCCCCGCGGGCGGCAGCGGCAGGGCCATGGCGGCGCTGAGGGCGCTGAGCGCGGGGGGGGCTGCGCTGCTGCTGCTGCTTCTCGGCTGCGGCGTACACGGGCTTTACTTCCACATTGGGGAGACAGAGAAGCGCTGCTTCATCGAGGAGATCCCCGACGAGACCATGGTCATGGGTGCGAGGGGAGGGGGCACGGCAGGGACCATTGTGGCGGGGGGGGAGACCACCGGGGACTTGGGGGGTAACGGGAGGAACCACTGCGG